ATTAAGGGCTACTCTTAAAGAGAGGAGAGTAGGGTTAAGGTGAAGCTACTTTATAAGCGAACTTTTTCAAAACTCGTTTCTGCCGTTAAACCAGTGTCCCCCTCTTACGTCAGTTTTCAACATTGGGCCGAGCATTCGATCGTTAACTCTCAAACTTATGGTTGTTTTGATCGCACCTTCGACATCCTTCCCCGAGATCTTTCCTCCAACTCTTACGATTGAATTTTTCTTTCTATCACCTATCTCTCTTTTTTATTTTCATGCATATTAATTCAGCCTTAAACAAAAAGGTCTGCGGGATTTGATTTCATCAAAGTAGTCAGCGTTTCGTCATTGAAGCGGCTTTTGCAGAGAATCCTGATCACCGACCGAGATTGAAATAGCTACGCCTGTGCGTTAAAGTCATCGAGACGAGTGGGTAGTTAAATCGTTCGGAAAGGAAAGAGAGATTACTTCCTATTTATTCAAACGTCTCGGTTTTAACTTAGTAAAGAGTCTGTCAAGTATATCTGCAAGATATACAAAAATGTTAAATTGTGTTAGTGCAACTAAGACCGTTTAAACTAAGTGTCAAGATGAGTTTGCTAATCCTTATGTTGCTTTCGAAGTGATTTTATCTGGAAGATATCCAAGTTCGGGCAGGTAGCAGAGAAGGAGAGACAGAAGAGAAAATTCTATTAGCTGCTCACAAGCTAAACCGATTAAGTTCACTTTTAGAATTATTATAAATTTTAGTGTCAAACAAATGGATTGACTGTTCATTTTATTATACTCTTTTCGTTTTGGCAAATGAACGGTTCACAATCAGATTGGAAATCGGTTAGATGGCATACAGTTACAAGAACATATAATGGAGTCATTTTATTATCGACCAGTCATGTCGATTTTTATCGTAACCAGAGGTGGTACCTGCTAACGTCATTCGTAACATGGTCTGAACAGATTCTACCCTTTGCATATTCATTTGCAAAATATTTCTCTTCAAGCAGCAGATACTAATTAAAACAAAAAATTGCATAATTTAGTCGAAACATGTATACAAACAAAATCCTGGTGATCAACTCGTGCGACTTTGTCTAATAAAACAAAAGTAGAGCGAGGAAATAACTTTCTCTGTTCTTTCCATAAAAGTAAAGTTCCGAGTTTTTATCCGGAAGTAGATCGTCAACCGAAAGGAAAATTTATCAAAAAGCCGTGAAACTTCAACATGATAACAATACCGTTGTCATTTGCGATGGGAACAATGAATCGTGAGATCGTTTCGCTATTCAACTTTCTAGACGTGTAATTCATCTTTAACAAAAGATTGTTCAAAGGACATTGATTGCATGTTTTTAGTCAATAGGAGATATCAATTAATCGATAGATTTGAAAGTTATTACAATTTGGTAATTATTTGCTAATATATTTTGCTTGTAAAGAAATAAAAAAGAAAGCTTAGCAAAGAGATATTGACACAGCATATAATTTTGGTATCCTTTATTAGGTGCGTTGGAAAGTTTCGACTCGGCTCGTCGTTTATTATCAAGAAGACGTAAAGATCGTTCTTTTTCCTTTATCGAAAGGAAAAGGAACGATCGAAAGAAGAACACTGTTTACGGCGTACGTTCTCGTGGGCGACACATTTCTCGACTTCGAAACGGATAAGACGAGCAAGGATGAAGAGGCAAAGAGGTAAAAGTATACGTTAAGGGAAAAAAAGCTGGGGTGAAATAAATAAAATAGTAAAAATATAAAAAAAAAAAAAAAGGAAAAAGGAAAAAGGACAAATCGAGGAAATACGAGGTATCGCACATTCGCACGCGAACCAACGGACGAACAGATCGTAATTTCTTTCTGTTCTGGTCGGCGCGAAGCGAGGGCCGATGTTCCCTTTCAAAACGGCCGACCATAACTCGGAAGGCCCGTTTGGTGGTTTACGTGCGATACATTCAAACCCCGAGGACTGACTTTCGCAAGAAGAAATTCCCTCTGAGAAAGACTCTCTCTCTAAGACGAAGGACAACGATCACGGCAAAAAAAGGAAGGGTTCTCTTTTTATGCCGAGGAGAATCAGGAGAAGGGCTAACGGTTCATTGAACTAATTCTCGCCAAGATGGAATCGACGATAAACCTTCTATCTTCAAGATTCTCGGCTTATTATCCTCTCTTCGAATTATCCACCGCACTGAAGGAAATTTCTATTGAAAGGAAAGCGAGAAATATGCATGTGTGCGTTTCTGTATTTGTGCGAGACTCGCGTAGCATTCTCAGATTCCAAAAGTAATCTCTTTTAGCGAAGAGGAATTAAGTATACTGATCTACTGCAAGACTACTCAACAGTGGTCCAACAACGTTCAATTAAGCTCTATCTACCATGCCACGTGAGATTTACCTTCACCGAGTGCGAAATGTGATCGACGTCAATCGGGATTTTCTCAAGTCCGAGACCGATACATGCATTATTATTTTCAGTTCCAAAATCATTTCAAATGACTATATCTATGAAGGAAATAAATATACCGGATTAAATAAAAAAAAAGTACATCGTTCGTCTTTTCTCGCAATTTCTCGGAAGCTTCTCAACGCGCTAATTATCTTTGATCGCTGTAATTCGATACTTTAACGACTATCGTTAAATTTATTCCCATGCAGGTGCAGCTTCTTCTCTTCTATCTCGTCGTCCACATTTCGTTTCGTTTTACGAAGATTCCTTCCATGTACTCTTATATACACGTGGAAATAAATCTGCACAGAACTGTTCGTAGGAAAGTGAAAAATTCTTCTGCTCGTTTTCAGCACATCATTGTACTTCTGCAATTTTCATATCAATCGTGATACAATGACACTACAATTTTGTAGCAACCCAAATTCTTTTTTCGTACATATTTCAAACTTTTTCGTGTCCGAATTCAATGAATTAATTAATTATTGGGATATTTTTTGGATTTTAAAAGCAATTGCTTGTAAACGTTTCATAGATACCATTGCATTTGCTAACGTAGCTTCTATTCTTTCGCAGAAAGATCTCAACTCGTAGAAATGTTAAGAGTAACGGGTCTTACTCTTGTCGGCTAACCATTCGAGTTTTACAATTATGAATTTAGTCGATTTGGTCGAGTAGACGATTGGAACGGGTTCTTTAGAAGCTTACTGCAAGAAGTTACGCGCGCACGATGACTCGCTAGAGTACTTCGGATTCTGGAATCTTGGCTAGAAATCTCTTTTCAGATAAACGTTAACCTTCTTTTAACGCACATTTTCGAAACATGATTTTTTACTTTACAGATGTTCGAGAAATCGTGGGAAAAATTGGATAAAACCATACTTGTGGAGGAAACAAATGTCTATCTACGGAAATGTTTACGAGCACAGGACGATTTTCTTATGAAAATCGAATAACATATTCCTGACATAACATTTCGTGAATTGTCCTATTATAAAATTGTTATTTATCAAAAAATATAATAATAAATCAATCCAGATAAATTGAATATCAAATTCATAACATATACGATGTAAACTGAGTCACATTTAAATATAATCTCACCCTAAGTAATCATTTCATCTATCCAACCATCGGGCAATTGTGTTCTCCTCGCGTATGTGAACTCTTACTAAACAGTTACGTAAAAGTCCATCCGCATTCTGACATCTTTGAAATAGCTTATCATAGTAATGCTTTTCAAAGTAACATCGCGTTTTCCCGTCAGTACTATTTTACAATACTTTTCACAAAGAAATTCCCTCATCCGGAAGAGGATAGGTATTTCGCGATCGACTACTACACTCGTTTGTATGAAACACCAACATCGTGGAAACTTGAAAAGGCTCTCAGCACTAAGCTTCGCGATTCGCCACGATTCGCCGAGTTCTCTTTCCTCCCACGGCTGAACTCTCTTTATCTACGCGTTTAAACTCGTCTTCGTGTGCGTTCTTCCTCGCGAAAATGGAGAAAGAAAAAGCCATGACAACGTAGTCCAGACGCCTAGCGTTACTTTCTTAAATGTCTTTATGGGATTCGAATGTCTACACATATATCAATGTATTGCGTACGATCCTCGATTACTATATCGAGTTGGCTACGATTTCCTCGAGTAACGGCTTCGACCATTATGATGTCATCATGCTTTCTTTCCTCCTATTTCTCACTAATTTTAGGAAAACAACGAAAGACACGAAGACAAAATGTTTCATCATTGTTTCTGACATTTTTTATTACGGATTTATTTACTTTATATTAACTTAAGTTTCACTAATATTAGAGTAGGTACATTACAATCTTTCAGCAAACGGTAAATAATTCCTTTAGTTAGATTTTACAACGCATTAGCTTAGCCAATAGAAAACTTATAGTATATGATTAATAGTTATTATATCCGGGTTGGCTCGTGGAACCGGATTTATTGAAAAATTACATAACACTATATATATGTTAATTCGATTAGGTTTGACGTGATTGATATGTTTGTCTATCGAAACGAAAATAAAACATATTATCTGAGAAAAATCTATTTGCTCATTTATTCACACACATACACACACAAAATTATCTAAAATATATACGTACTTTCCTAATAACTTTAATCGGCCAATGTCTTCGTATGCAAAGAGACACAAGGGAGCAAGTACTCATGTTAGTATAGATGGGTGGGCCCAGTTAACGTAATCTATTAAAAGACTCCCAGCTTGATTATGCGACAGCACTTCGCGTGCTGTAGTTGGTCGTTCGTCTTTCTCGAGCAGTACGAAGATACAGGAGGAACCCACCGAGAACTTTCAAAGACAAAGGAGGCAGACTTTGCATGCTGATGTTCTCGAGAACTATGTAGCCAACTCCATTGTAATGAAATAGTAGTCAAAGTTGAATAGAACAGGACGATGTGTCATAGAAATCGTTGTATTAAATTTTCTCTAGGAAGATCATTTAATAAAAATTCGAAATTTAATCCACGGCCCTAAACTGACTACGCATTCTACTAGAAAATATTTGTATTATATTGATTAATTGAGCAGTCGCATAGGTTAGCTATTCTCGAAGGATATGATCTCAGTTAAAGACGTATTTCCTTATCGAGAAAGGAACTCTTATCGGGGCGATCGGTATCGTCCTGCTGCGTAAGCACGGCCCTGGCGAGTTATCAAGCACGGCCCTGGCGAGTTATCGAACGCTGCTAGCGTGCTCCATCGCGTCAAGCAGAGCGAGAAAAAGGCCGAGGGTAGAGCTTGTTTCTACCTCCTACAGTGGTTACCGAAGCTTCTATACGCGCTCCTATGTACAACACACCAGTAAGCCGCGCAGAAGAGTAATCAAAGAAAGCCGATTCGTTCTTCTTATAGTCCAGGTGCAGGAAAGCCGGCCTCGAGGTCGAGGCGGAATCATTTATAAAGTCTACACTGCAACCAGTTAGGTATGTTTAATATCAACTTGGTCTCTTGCTATTTCAAATATCCAATTTTACAATAAAGGAATTACATTTTCTTTTGGAAATACCATACCATACCACCGTCGAATTCTACGATCGAATCTTATACAGGGTGGCTCTAAACCCTGGCATAAAGTTCTCGGAGATCTAATGAAATATTTGCAATAAAACTAAATTTAAATACTTCTCTCAAGATACCTTCGTACAAGAGCAACGTAACAAAATAAAACTCAATGCGAACTCTAGGAACATTAAGACACACCACAACCTGGTAGAAGTCATCAGAATTCTCATAAACCGACTTGAACCCATATCGGTGGCTCAAGGTCGTCGTCGGACAGGCCCTGCTGGAGCTTCGAAGTTAGTTCACGTCGTTCGTTGTCGAAGAACTTAACGAAGAAAAGAGCGCAAGGCTTGGCAAAAGAGAAGAGGAGAGAAGGTCTTGCGGATCGAGGTAACTGAGTGGAGCAAAGGGTGGAGAGGGGAAAGCCGTATGGAGTCGAGAAGAGAGAGAACCGGTTGGTTCCTTCCTTGGCTTGGTCGACTCCTCGAGTAAGGACTCGCTCGACTGGACTACCGACTAATGTAAGAGAGAGAGAGAGAGAGAGAGAGAGAGAGAGAGAGAGAGAAAGGCACCTAACAATAAGAAAGAAAAAGGAAGGAATACTGTTGGCGTGGGTGCTCGATTCTTACCACTATTCCTACCACGGTTCCTACCACGGTTCCTACCACGGTTCCTACCACGGTTCCTACCACGATTCTTGCGACGCAAGGTTGCTCCTTTTACTTGCTTCTTTCAGTTCTACAACGTCGTTCGTCGTTCGTCGTTCTTGCGTAAGTCAAACAGTTTCGAGACTAGAATATAATTGGAGCACAACCGAGCAAATAGATGACGATTAGCTTACCGATTATTATTTATTGCCAATGACGATATCTATTACTTTTACGACCATCGTTTCATTATTATTTTTATTTAAGTAGCCTTTACACACAATTAGGGTAATTATATTTAGCTCATTTTCCTGTGATTTATTGGTGTTTTGCTGGTCTTAGAATTCAAGTTAAATATTAGTTTTCATTTTTTGTTCTATATTTCAATTAAAAATCAATTGATTTTGTTTATCCTATTAGAAATATTATAATAGAATTGTGCAAGTAATGTTGTCATAAAAATAAATTGATCACCCTTCGTGTATCCATTCCAGACGAGTGATTTTGTTGCACAAACGCCAACTATACCACTATATTCTCGCGATCCAATTATAAGCACACTTTAATATTTCTCTTTTCTTATAATATCCATTGACATAGAGATTCTAAGGGTAGGCGCAAACTCGAAACACGTTACCTCGTCGATGTAATTAACTGGATAATTAGTCGATGAAGATGAATACGTGCAACGACCACTTTTCTCCTTGTCATCTCATAAATCTTTGATATTATACATAGAGTAGCGAACGATTCTTAAAGTATAGTTCCATAGAATGTAATTGAACAAGAAAAGTAGTGTAGAATATGAAAGGTGAACGTAAGTAATGTATTTGAAAGAATTAACAATGCAACAATACCTACTTTGATGTTGCTTCAGAAGATATCGAATGAATGATAGAGTGCTGTGTTTTGTTGAGTCTGAATAGATTTAGGTTTATGTAGTTTGTATGTAATATATATATATATATATATTTTTTGAAGTAGCTAAAATATTACATTCGAGTTTCCACATTGAAAAAACATAAAGCAGCCTTTTGTCAAACGTATTCATAAAATGAAAATCATCAAATTTGTTTAGCACCTTTGTAATATTCGCAGTCATTTGATTCTGAAGGTATCCAACGGGAAAATACAAAGAAACTTTTAACTTAACCCAATATTATAACTCTATCACGGATATATCTAAGAAGTTACTTCCCTTTGGCACTTTCCTTGTTTGTAAACCGGAGATGAGATGAAACAAAGCGCGAATTACCTTGTCCTACCGATCACCATCGTTTCAAATCCTTCAAGAAGTTTACTATCATTATTATTATACGAACGAACGGTAAAAGCAAGGGTATGGACATGCACGATTAACTCGAAACACCACGCACGCAGAATCGAGGAGGTATCTTTTCGCCGTTGGTTCTTCTTCTTCTTCTCCTCTTCCGTTGCTTCTTCCTCTCTTCGTCGAGGTCGTTAACCCTGGCCCGTTTAGCGAGATACATCTTGTATGCGTGTTCAAAATAAAAGCGTGCAAAAAAACGTTGACAAAAAATATTCCTTTCCCCACCCCTCGGTAAATGTCATTACGCGAGAGTATAATGAACGAGAGATCAATTACAAGCCGTAATGAATCTCTTCTACATTCGATCGCGTTTTGTCGAGTCAGGATGCTTGTAGGTATGTATGTATTGTCGGTATCTTCTTGAGCAGCTAAAATATTGGCACCGATGTGCAAATGTTACACAGTCATGAATACATAAGCAAATGATTTTTAGGAAGAACAGCAAAATTAACTAATTATTTATCGTACAATTTCATAGAGAAAAAAATCGTCATATAGTATTGTAGATTGGTTCATAATTTCACCTATCGTCGTATACAGTAACATTCTAAATCCTGCTTTCCTTGAGCTCGAGATATAGCCAATAACATATATTAGAACGACCCATTTAGTATGATATATGTATGTATTTTGTATGCGTGCTGAAAAGTAAGAAATAAGAAAGAGAAAAGAAAATTTAGCTACTCCCTCCTGTAAGTGTCATTGTGCTCGCGTATAACGAAGGAAAGATCAATTACGAGACATAATGAATCTCTCCTACTTTCGATCGCGTGTTAAAAGCTGTACGCAGAAAGCGGAGTACGTGTAAAATACGTATCAAGTAATCGAGTTTCAGTGTAAATCTCCCAACACCCTACCATATTCTGTCGACCTAAAATCCTAATAACGTTGTCAATTAAAGATTTTTCCAGAAGATTATTAACACCAGGCTGTGTTCCTACTAGCTGGAAGCTCGCAGAAATACGTACTTACGCAAAAAGAAATATGTAAGTAGATTACAAACGAGATTTCGAAATTCTAACTCGCGAGTACTCTCTTCCGTGTCATATTATAATAAGTCAAACTGTCGAGATCGTTTCCCGTTCTTCCCGGCTACACAAATATAGATAAAATAAACATTGGAAATCGCGTTAGTCTTTTTTATCGAACGTAAACTATCGCATAATTTAACGATTTAACTTCAACTCGTCCCACTTTCAAATTATCTAATCTCTTTCGATAACACTTGCGCATATACGCAAAAATAAATATTCTCCTTTTGAAAAATATTACAATTATTTATCGACGTTCCCAAGTCTTTCAAATGATATATGGTGTGTTAAGAAATTTCGATAAGACGTGACTTTGCCACCAGGATCCACTGGACTTGAAAGAAGACTAATAAATTGTTTCCATCTTGAGTTAAAAACTTTTCAACCTACCTTTGTTGAAGAAAAAAGCAAAGAATTTGTAGAACTTGACGTATCGATTTCACGACTAAGGCAACAACCGTTTTGAGTAATTCAATCGATTCGAAAGACTCGACATTGGATCGGTAATTCTAACTGAAGAATCCGAGAAACGGGGAAATGGAGTTAGAAAAGTAAGGAGGATGGTAATCGAAGCCACCCACGCGAGACTCTGGGATAGGAAGAAAGATGGGGAAAGAGGATCGCGTTTAGAAATGCTTCCGAAGAAGAAGAAGAAGAAGAAGAAGAARAAGAAGGAGAAGAAGAAGAAGAAGAAGAAGAAGAAGAAGAAGATGAAGAAGAAGAACTGCGATACGTAAATGGGAGGAGTGCCGTTAGATCACTACCCCATTGTCAACGTGCTGTCAAGCGAACATAACCAAACTCCTCTCTTTCTCTCTAATTTAAATCTTAAAAGCGCATCTTTCGCATGAGCAAAACATATACTATCTATATACACCCACCTGCGAGAGTAAGAAGAATTACTCGTTGCTCGCATATCATTCGAGCAGGCAAAATATATGGTGGGAGTAAGATACTGTTAACCGTCGTGGCAGCACTCGCTGACAGAGAAGACCCTAAGAGAGCTAGCTTGGAGAGTAGCTGCTCCTCGGTTCTGTTTGCTCTGCCCCGTGAACACACTTTTTATCTCGCTCGCCTAGATTTCAAATCGGCCTGAGGTAGGAATACGAGAGTGGAGATATGGACGCCTGGGTCAACGAAGAATAATCTTAGAAGCGATTTGCATTCGCGTCTGTTATTCGTCTCTTCTTTCCCTTTTCTTTCCCTGTTACTCGAGGAGATCCATTACGCATCATGATGGATAGTAGAAGTCTCGAGCGTCGAGATCGGTTGCCAAGGTGAAAGACGAACATCGCCTTTGGCCGGTCGTTACTCAATGTGCGATAATAAAATATCTATGAGATCTGTGTGCCGCTACTATATCTCTTTGAACCAACTAGGTTGCGCCTTAGACTTTATTACCTATCCTTCCTCGAAGGCGCCTCTCACCAATATTTCCCAGAATATCTCGACTAGTCGCGAGAGGATTTCGCATTGTCAGTGGTAACGATGTTGTTCGCGGATTATTACAAAGACGTTTCTGACATTGCCCTATTCTATCGAAGTTGCAGCCATAAAGAGGGAACGGTGATACTACTAGATAGAGATCCGTTTCGATTACCGTTTACAACTGGACTTTTACTCTTTCAGTCTTCGTTCTGCCTAGTTGATCACCTATTATTCGAAGAAGATGAGCAAGTCGTTCATGGCTTCAGCTCCCATGCTAATCCGAATTATTTCCCATCCGAAATAAAGTTTATGATATTATCAAATAATAGTACATTACCCTCGCAAAGCGATACGTTTCTCTGTTATTTTTCTTTCCTTTTGAATCGAACGTACCTGCAACAGAAAAGTAAGACAAATTAAAAAATCGCGAAGGATACTTCGATTGGATCACAGAAGTAGGTGAAAAAGGTTAGTAGTAGTAAGCGAATGCCACTACAGCACCCGGAATTATCTCCAGTACTATATAGAGTAAAAGGAATAAACGGCGACTCCTTTCGAGCTCTTTACGATTTGGAGGGATGTCCGTGGCATTGCTGGCGCAGAATCGTCGAAGGAAACTAACCTCGGAAGAATCTCGAAGGACAGGCGTGCGACAACGTGAGAAGAAAAAGCTAGACGATTTCCACGATCGAGGCCGATCAAAGAGCAACGTAAATCGTCCTCTCTGCTATTTAATAAACTCTACGAAATAATAAGGATCGTTTAGAACCGGCTGACAAATTAATGGACATTCCAAGTCGCTCGACATAGCACATAGCAAGCGAGCGTTCAAAACCAGACAGAAAACCCGCGAGAGTTACTAATTACATTCATATACTAACTTGGTGTAAGTGTCTACGTATGCTATACTATACTATAATAAACAGTGTAGTACTTATAGTATAACGGTAATGCGAAGGCACGCGGCGCCTCCCATAAGCGCTGTAATTTAATTAATGCCGATTAACATCGCCAAAGGCTGGATTTATGAGTGTCCATGAGAGAATGAGGGAGGAGTGGGAGAGGAACATCAACGACGAGGTCAGGTCGAAGAAAAGAAACGAACACCGGCAAGGATCGTTTCTGATATCGTCTCAATACCCACCCACCACTTTCTCTCCCGTTTCCATCTACACCAAGGATGACCAACCTTTTATCTTACTTCAGCCGCATAGAGTAATTCTAGCAATAATCATTCAGTACAAAACTTGCTAAAAAGAACAAAAATTCAGCCTAGATTGAACACCCATTGACTTTGACTCATGGTGTAGATATTTTTACGTTCACGTGTCTTATTTCCTATCGCTGACTCTTTTCCCGAGTTTAATGCTAATTAGGCGAATGCGGGTCGAGCGTAAGGAATTCAGAATCCTTGCTTCGAGTCTTAAGATAAACGACGATGTTAGCTGTCTTTCCAAAGAGAGAGAGAGAGAGAGAGAAAGAGAGAGAGAGAGAGAGAGAGAGAGAGAGAGAGAGAGAGATAGACTGTCTTTACGAAGAGATACGCGTTCTGCCAATCAAAATGTCCACTTAATCTCTTTTTCTTCGTCTGTTTTTTAGTAGCCATCGAAAAGACAACGACAGAAACCCAACAGCGTCGAGACCCACGGCTTCGAACGTTAATTGAATAATTTGCATCCCACCTGCCTGGTTTCCGGCAGCAGAAGTGCAGCTGCTACGAGACACGCATAAGGTCAGGGTGGAACCTACTTCTTCCTCTTTATGCTTCGAGGGACCTTCTAAACGTATGACCTAGAGACTGAAACAAGCCCTACCATACTAAGAAATGTACTAATATTAATGGTTGAGTAACACTGGATGGGAATAATTATTCTCAAAATAATCAAATTTTTGTTACTCGTAATACGTTAATTGTATCTTATCAACTATCAAATTAAGTCTTGTATCATTATAATTATTAGTATACTTTTGTTAAGTTCTCAAAGATCAACGAAGATCTTTCGTTCGTTCGATCGTAAGAACCTAACGACGACAACTGGAAGTCTGCACGAGTTTCACATTGGACACGTACTCGTGTCCGTTCTTTAGGAATTTCAGCTAGGTTGAAATGCACCCCGTGAGTAAGTGAGTGAGAGAGAGAAAAGGGGGACCGGTTATTGCTCGGCATTCCTGACCGTCGTCCAGATGTCATCGGCCAAGGCAACCTCGCGGAAAAAGGCAAGCGGAGGACACGACTTTAATACGACGGTATCGGTTTCAGTCTTCGAATACCTCGTGTTGCTTCCAAGAGCTTGCCTGTCAGACTCGCGGAACGTCTTTCAGATCCAGTCGGCTTTATGAGACGAACATCGACCAAGAAAATAGCCTGATGAGATTAAATACCAGAATGGTAAAGGATTGATCTATTAACTTTTATTTATAAATATATTTTTTTCCTCCATTAAATACAAAAGTAAATGAAGAGATCGTATTTTAGATTAGAAAGGAAGAAAATAAATGTGGCGTTAAAAATGAGGAAAATGAATTTACGGTTAGAGATAAGAAGGATGAGTTTTGAGAGGTCGAGGGAGCTCGAGGTTCCGTGAGATCAAGTGGGTTAAGGGGTTAACAGAGAGGATTCCAAAAAGTCAAGTCTCTGTCACCGTGCAAGGCCAAGAACGTGATGCACCGAGTACGTCTCTTTCTCGGTTCGGGCCGCAGCCTTTCGTCCCTTGTAAGGTTTCGCGAGGGTTACAAGAAGCGGTCTTTCGAGAAGCAAGAAGGCACGATGTCGGGACCGTATGAGGTAGCGACACCTTCTTCGTTCGTTCGAATACGTCGACACGTGCTGCTCCAAAAATCAAATACTATCCTTGTTATTCCCGTCTCGTTGCACGGTATACGCGCTAAAAACTCGCGGTACCAGCGCCTTTGGTAGCTATAGAAAAACATACGAGCATCAAGGTTCGCATCTATGAAGCAACGCCATAATAAACGATCTCGAAATCTCTTTCCTTTTTTTCAGTCTTCTAAGGATTTCTCTTAATGTTGATTCGACAAATAAGACGCTACTATTATCGCCATCATCATAATATGAGCCACTTTTTTGTGGCTCTCTGTTGAAGTCACGAAAGAATTAGAAGAACAAACAATTTTAATTTGATCATTATTGTAATCAATTGCAAAACCGCTGAAACTAATACCATAAACTGGTCATTTAACGAAGGAAGAAAGTAAATCGAAGTCGTGGCAACAGTAACATCAGCAGCCGCAGTTGTTGGTTTATGTATACCTATCGGAAGACTGCACCTATTAATCGATCGTTTTCGATGTGCGACAATGAACTTGTCCTCTTACCGGACGCGATGAGAAACGAGATCTTTCTGAACGAATTACGAGAACAAAAATCAACCCTGCTACGGTCACCTAATTGAACGATCGAAAATTGCTTTATCGGATGTAATAAAGTAGACAAAAAAAAAAAGAAGAAAAAACAAACGAACCAGATAATAAAGTTCCACCTGTGTCTCTACGCCGAGAGAAAACTTTTTATTACCATCGTATTTTCTGTCCTTTCTACTTCCTGCAGAATTCCACTTAACACAAACCCACCCCTCTTCTTTCTTTCTCGGACACACTTCTGCCACACATTTTATTTAAACAACATACGGACACGAGATAACGCAAGAAATTCGTCCTGTTTAAAAGAAAAGAACGAACGGAATTGTCGAACGATTAATCGACTATTCGCAAGAGAAGATAGGTAAAAGTCCAAACGCGAGCCTGACGCTAAGAAAAAATAGAAAGAAAGACAACGTATCCAAGATCGTCCAAGTCTCCCTCCTTGAAATCTAAATCTTCTGTCCGACTCTCGGAGACACGAAAACTTCTCCAGGACTTGTAAAGGCTCAAGGGACTCGGAACGAAAGGGGAAGAAAAATGATCATCGAGCGGTGACCGAACAAGGATAGAAAGAGAGAAAAGGTTTCCATTAAATCGGTGCAAAGAGTCTCGCGCCGTAATTTCACGTCGTTTCTTGCAACTATCGGTGGATCTGCCGAGAGTGGTGTATACACGACTCTACTCTTTTTCAAGGTCCATGGCGTAAAGGCGAGTTTTGCGCTCTTTTACGATGCTATATACACCCTACACTAATAACTCACGCTCGAACTATCAGATACGTTGGTATATACTCGAAGCGTATACTAGTCTCTTCTAACCCCCCCCCTCTGCCGCCAACCATCAGCCGTTCTTTCGTTTCTCCGTTTCTTTGGTCGGGGGAGCTAAACTCTCTCCTTCTCTCTCTTTTTTTCTTAAGAAAGGGAAATCTGGGGGCTCATTGTTGCACACTCGCTCGCGCGAGAACGAACGAGGATTTATCGTCGCGATGGGACAGACAGAGAGAGAGAGAGAGAGAGAGAGAGAGAAGAATCACTAGTGGTGGTGCATGGCCAGGACCTTCTTTTTCACGGCAGGACGCCAATCCGAAGGAGAAGTGTAGTAAGATAAAGAGAGAAGAAAGAGGATACCTCAGGAAGATAAATACTTACTTCAGCGACTTTATCACGTAGAGGTTGGTACGATGTGTGTGCACCCTCACGATCCCTTTCCTTTAACGTGTGCAGTGGCACGAGCGTATCTCGCGTCATTATTAACTGACTGGCGAAGAGAGAGAAAGAGAACGAGTAATGGAATTTATTGCACGACACCTTGACAAAATTCTAAATTATTTCAATCAAAATTCTTCTTTATCAAAGTATTTTCTTTTAAACGCGAAGACACCCTATATAAAAAGGTTTCGAAATGGCAAAGTTAACGGGGCCTTGCATAATTTAGTCGGCTGAAGCACCGCCCACAAAATGCTGGAAACCGAATCTCGGTCTATCCATGACCCATTTTAGCGGACAACTATAAGGAGAAAAAAAACACACCTAAATGTATAAAGTATGGACGTTGGAATTCGGCGGGCCAGTCGATGATCGCGCGTGTAAAAGATGAAAGTAAAATCGATTATGTCGATTATTTATGAATAACGATGTAACGTAGATTTAGAGTTCGCGATCGGATGGAAAGGAAGATTGTGGAAAATGGAATTAATATACAACCTATATCAGAGGATGCAAGTTCGGAGAACTCGATTCCTGTATCTGGTTCGAGCAAAGGAAAGAAACGAGGAAGAACTTGATTCTTCGGCCCTACTCGGCATTCCTTGGAACGACATCTGTTCCCGGGTTGTTCCGCGTTCTCGCGGAAGAGAGTGCGTGGCGTAAAATGTGGTTCGTTTTGTCCGTTGGTCAGCAGTAATTGCGATCGATACGATTACCGATTGCAGCGTCCTCGTCGAAATGAAGCGACAACAACGCGATGCCATTTCCAACCCCCGGGCGTAAGGGCATTTCTCAAACGTACCGTTTCAAATGCGATCTGGCTTTGATTTGAAATTTTTCGCAAGGACGATATAGCCAATGTTATCCAATTATCTGAAATTTATTCGGACACGTTTGTAACTCGTTAAGAAAGTTTCGATCGTGAATCGTAGAGTTACTTGTTCCGTGGTTGGCACATCAAGATCGGTAAATGGAGAGAAAGCGAGAGGATTGAAATTCAAGTTTGCTTTTTCGGTGGGCCATACAAGAGTCGAGTTGCGTGGGTGTCGTTTCGTAGAAAGAAAGAAAAGGATCGATCGACGGTGGACCATTCGCAGGAATAAACCGCGAGAGAGAAAAGGAGGAGGAACGAAACGTAAGGAAATAAAAAGACGACGGCGTTGTGGTTACATCGAAGTTACGTGGCACAGCGTCAAATATATGCTGGCGTAACTCTTGCGCGGCACGGACACGACGTCGTACAAATTGTCGTAAATCGCGCGCGCAATTACACTCTTTCTATTCTCGACGCTTGCATTTGACTAAATTCATGCTCGCCTCGAAAACTGCTCCAGTTACTTTCCACGAAAATGCTTTTTATTACGTTCCATTTTAGGATTCTCATTCCTATTATCAATAATTTTCTTCTGCAATAAAGTAACGTTTTAACGAGATTCCCATTGTCAACAATGACTAAGTATGATAGAAGAGAAAAAACAAGAGAGAACAATAGAGATTGAAGCTTCCTACGGTGGAAGGAAAAAGACAGACGGTTAATATCTCGGGTCGAGGCCATGATTCTCGAGGGAGCTTTTCAAGAGGAAAGTAATGGACGTCGTTTGATACGCACACATAAATTTCTTTGACGAGTCCTTAGCAGAAAACTTGGTTGCTGTTAGAAGAGAAAGAGACGACGACCAGCGGTGGTGGTGGTGTGTTCCATCGGCCGTTCCGCCGGCCGTTCCGCCGGCCGTTCCGCCGGCCGTTCTCTCGGGTTGCACCATTTAATAGCACATGATTGCTCGTTGCAAGCGTTTAGCCACACCTTGCGCGCCTTATCCAACTTCGTTCCCAGCTTCGATTTCATGCTGTGTCGCGCGACTTTTCTTCCCTTTGGAAATGAACACGAATCCTCAACTATTTACCTCCACTATATTCAAACTAAATAAAGTCTTACGTATCGAGTAGAAAACATTTCGATATCGATCAATAACGCATAAATAAAATACGCGAGATAAATGATATTTTCCTAGGACACGTGGTACGGAACGTTGGAAAAGGAACGGGAAGAACACGAACATTAATTCCGTGTTAGCAGAGGTGATTGTGCGGAACGCGTGTACCGCCATAAAGACAATTAGTTGCACTTGGTATTAAAATTTAGCGACGTGTTACCGCAGGGAGGTAGAACAATGGGCTTTGTGAGGTGTACCATGCTTCTGCACTACCTCTTCAGACTATCTCTACCTTTCTCTCTCGCCCTTACTAAAAGTAGACGCGCGCATGCGTCGAGAAGAGTATGATACTTAACATTGTGTTAAAGGCCGAGTAGGATCGTAAAACTTCTCCTTTCGACGTTTATCTACTCTCAAACTGAAAATGTGAATCTAGAATTATAATTTAGCAAGGTAACCGCCGTTTCTCGTGCGAGCTCGAACCTCCCAATCCCCTTTCCACCTTCCGATCGTAATTTGAGGAATAATTGCGAGCTCTCGCATGGTCGTCGTCGTCGTCGTCGTCGTCGTCGTCGTCGTCGTCGTCGTCGTCGTCGTCGTCGTCGTCGACGTCGATGTCTGCCAGGAAAAGCGAATGAAGAAAATAAGGAATTCCTTCGATGAAATAAAGAGGGAGAGAAAAGTAAGGGCTTGGCATTGACCTTTGACACGAAAGCACTCGGCGTTAGTTCAATCCAAAGGAAGGATGAATGAAACGATCGTGGTCATTAATCGTCGCTGGAGTTTCTTCGAAGGAACGTTTACCACAGCGCCGAGCTATGCTGATTTCAATTAATCCCGTGACATTCCACGTTTTTCCCATCATCCGA